CCTGTTCAGTCATTAGTCACCTGCTCTGTCCTTGGTCACCTGTTCTGTCCTTAGTCATCCTTAGTCACCTGTTCTGTTCTTAGTCATCCTTAGTCACCTGTTCTGTCCTTAGTCATCCTTAGTCACTTGTTCTGTCCTTAGTCACCTGCTCTGTCCTTAGTCATCCTTAGTTACCTGCTTTATCCTTAGTCACCTGTTCTGTCCTTAGTCACCTGCTCTGTCCTTAGTCATCCTTAGTCACCTATCCTTGGTCGCCTGTTCTGTCCTTAGTCACCTGCTCTGTCCTTAGTCATCCTTAGTCACCTATTCTGTGCTTAGTCACCTGCTCTGTCCTTAGTCACCTGTTCTGTCCTTAGTCATCCTTAGTCACCTGTTCTGTCCTTAGTCATCCTTAGTCACCTGTTCTGTCCTTAGTCACCCTTAGTCACCTGTTCTGTAACCGTCCTGCCACTCTGGCTCGTACCCCTGCTCTCTTTAAAATAGCCAATCGGAATTAGCTTAGACTGTGCAGTCCAACCCTAGTAAATAGGGGAAAGATATAGCAGTAGGGCTAGCTGTGTTAGGAATAAGGCCCCCTTCCCCTCCCTTGTCCAGTGTGCTCTTGCCATTGTTCCATCTGTGAGATGCACACTTCTATAAAGGTAAATTGCCTTGCTGAGAAAATTTTTGCCTGAGTGCTATTTTCAGTTGGTGGCACCGAGCATTTACTTCCAACATCACCCCATCCAACAGCCTCACAGTTGCCCTGTTATGGCTGAACGAGCTTGTAGTATAGGCCTGGGGAGCATGAACACAGATTCCAGAGTGAGACTGCCAGTGCCGAAATGAGACTGTTAGTAGTTTTTATTTATTCCACTTTTGTTCTAGGTTTCACTGAGGAAACGTTGGTTTCAGGGTGCTGCTCAGATTCCCCTGGGCTGTTATCTGCATATTACTTTCTGTCTGATGGGTCCTCTGGGTAGCTGACACTGACATGGAGTTCAAAGAGTAAGAGATGACCAAGGGTGACTCCTGGGAAAAATAAAAGGGAGTAGAAGCAGGCTGAGATATGGGAAACCTTCCTGCCACTGTGGAGGTCTGACAGCTTAGACCACATTATAGGTCACATGTAGGCTCGGCCAACTCCACAGGGAGTTCTAGGGTGAGGAGCCTCATGTTGGGCTGAATCAGCCAGGCCCCTGTGCCTTTCTGTGCCCACTTCTTGGCTGGGGACTGCCAAGAAAGAGCATGGCGTTAACTTGAAAGCCGAAGTCGATCTTAAATGAACTACCAGATGCAGGTTGGAGAGTGTTAGCTACCTGCACTCATCGCTGTGGAAGAGATAGTTCTTTCTCTAAGGGAGATCTGAGAGCTACTGCCCTGGGGCTGCCATGTAGCTCTCGCTCTCTCTCTCTTTTTTTAAAAAATGGCTTTATTGATGTATAATTCACATGCCTTAAAGCTTACCCATTAAAAGTGTACTGTTCAGTGATTTTAGCAAATGTATACAGTTGTGTAACCAAAATCACAATCCAGTTTTAGAATGTTTCCATCATCCCAAAATGTTTGCTCCCTCTTCCCACTTCCATCCCCAGCTGCAGGAGACCATGAATCTGTTTCGTGCCTCTACAGTTTTACGGTTTGTAGAAATGGTATCTAAATGGAATCACACAATCTGTAGTCTTTTGTGTCTGACTTCTTTCACTTGTGTTTCTGAGTTTCATTCATGTTGTTGCACATGTTAGTAGTCTGTTGCTTTTTAGAAGTGTGCTGAGTAGCATTCCATGATGTGGATATACATTTTGTTTATCTACTTTTCAGTTGATGGGCTAATTTCTGGTTATTATGAATAATGTTGCTATGAACATTTGTATACAAGACCTTGTGCAGATCCATGTTTTCATGTATTTTGGTTACATACCTAAGAGTGAAATTGCTGGGTCATATGGTAATTGAATGTTCAATTTTTTAAGCAACTGCCAAATGGTGTTTCAAAGTGGCTGTATCATTTTGCAGTCATGCCAGCAATGTAGGAAACTACATATCATAGTTTCTCCATATCCTGGTCAGATTTTGGAATTATCAGTCTTATTGTTTGCAGTCATTCTAGTGGGTGTGTAATAGGTATTTCATTGTGCCTTTAATTTGTATTTCCCTAGTGACTAATAATATTGACCATTTTAATGTGCTTATTTGTATATCTTCTTGCGTGAATTGTCTTCAGCTTTTTCTTTATCCTTTTATTAATGAGTTATGAGTTCTTTACATAGTGTGGGTACAAGTCCTTTATTAGATATATGGTTTGCAAGTATTTTTTCATAGTCTGTGGCTTGTCTTTTCATTGTTTTTTATGGTTTCTTCAGAAGAGCAAAACCTAAAATTTTGATGAAGTCCAACTCATTTTTTTAATGAATTGTGCCTTTAGTGTGATATCTAAGAAATCTTTGCCTAACCTAAGGTTAGAATGACTTCCTGCTGTGCTTTCTTCTGTACATTTTATTTTTTACATTAGGTCAATGATTCTCAACTGGAAACAGTTTTGCTCTCCAGGGCACATTTGGGAATATCTAGAGACGTACATTGTCACAACTGGGTATGTGTCAGGGGAGGGGTGCCACTGGCATCTAATAGGCAGAGGCCAGGATACAGCTAAACATCCTACAGTGCACAGGACAGCTCTCCATAGCAAAGAATTATCCACCTCCACAAACGCCAACAGTGTTGAGGTTGAGAAACCCTGACTTAGTCCATGTTTAGCTAATGTTTGTGCATGGGGTAAGGATCCTAGTGCTTTTTTTTTTTCCTTCTGCCAGCACCATTTGTTGAAAAGAATATGCTACTATACTGAATTGTCTCAGCAGCTTTGTTCAAAGTCAATCGGCCATAAATATGAAGATTTATACCTGAATTCTCTATTCTGTTATTTGATTTACATGTCTATTCTTTTGCCAATATAATACTTTTGTTGTTGTTGTTTTTGAGATGGACTCTCCTAGGTTCAAGCTATTCTCCTGCTTCAGCCTCCTGAGTAATGAAGATTACAGGTGCATGCCAACATGCTGGGCTAGTTTTTTGTATTTCTAGTAGAGACGAGGTTTCACCAAGTTGGCCAGGCTGGTCTTAAACTCCTGACCTCAAGTGATCCACCCACCTCAGCCTCCCAAAGAGCTGGGATTACAGGTGTGAGCCACGGTGCCTGGCTCTTACTTTGTGATTATTGTAGTTTTATAGACAGTTTTGGAATCAGGTTCTATAAATCCTCCAACTTTGCTCTTAAAAAAAATTGTTTTGTCTACTACAGGTTCTTTGCATTGTCATAAAAAATTTAGCATCAGCTTTTCAAATTCTACAAAAAAGCCACCTGAGATTTTAATGGATTGCATTGAATCTATACATCAATTTGAGAACTACCATCTTAACAATATTGCATCTTCTAATCCGTGAACTTTGTATATTTCACTATTTAAATCTTTAACTTCTTTCAGCAGTGTTTTATGGGTTTCAGTATACAGATGTTACACTTCTGCTGCCAAGTCTATTCCTATTTTGTTTATTTTTAGATGCAATTTTAAATGGAATCATGGTCTTAATTTCATTTTGAATTGCTTATTGACTATATATAAATACAATTCTGTTAGTTTTGTATATTAACTTTGTATATTGCAATCTTGCTAAACTTGTTATAAGTTCTTGTAGGGTTTTTTTTTTTCATTCCTTACAATTTCTATATATAGTGTCTTATATTCTTGAGAATAAAGTCTTTTATTTCTTCACGTCCAATCTGTATAGCTTTAATTTCCTTTTATTGCCTTCTCTGGGTAGAATCTTTAATACAATGTTGAATAAAAGTGGTGAGAGCCATAAGCCTTTAAAAAAATTTAAAAAAATTCAGAATCCTGAGAACCTCTAGTCCTATATGTTTTGAGTAAGGCTTTGCAGACCCACAGTAAGCTACTAATAGGATTGTTGGAAGGGTAAAATGAAGTACAACATGTAATATGCTTAGTGTAATGTCTAGCAACAGTTAGTCCTCATAAAATATTAGCTTTCAGAAAGAGAATCTTGACTGGCCACTGGCAGGCCAGCATCAGGGATCAGAACTTAACATTGAGGACTGAGGCCTGGGTGGGCAGAGGCTGGGCTGGCTCCATGGCTGATGTGGTGGGTGATGGAAGTTGTCTGTGGCTTGTCCCCAGCATGAGTCAGCACAATGTTTGTCAGCCTCCTCAGGGATTTCTGGTGCTGTGGGAGCGCTCCCAAGCCAGGATGCTTGTGGTTATAGAGAAATGTAATGTGAAGTGAGTGGACTCAGGAATGACGCATTGTATTGAAGTTCAATTGATGTTAGAGGATGAGTATCATGAGGGGATGATTTGGGTGTATATATTATTTCAAAACCAAGAGAAAACCCTTCATGATTTCCAGTTTCTATGGTTTTCTATAGAATGCCAATTTCCGTAGAACGCACTGCTACATCCCTTCTCAAAGGTTCATTCTAGAAGTTGACCTGTTATATCTGTTGAGGGACCTGAAATTGGAGGTAGGGACAACAGCTGAGATGAGCAACAGATAGATAACCTGGAGTAGGACCAGCACCACAATGAGGGCTCAGTGGCACCTCCAACCTCGCTGGGACTCAGCATCTCGTTTATGGTTCTCCTTGTAGAGATCCTTTGTGTCCTTGGTTACATGTGTTCCTAGGTATTTCATTCCATGGCTATTGGAAATGGGATTGCGTTCTTGATTTGGTGCTCAGCGTGAATGTTATTGTGTATGGAAATGCTGGTTTTTGTACATGGATTTTCTATCCTGAAACTTTACTGAAGTCGTTTATTGGTTCCAGGAGCCTGTTGGCAGTCTTTAGGGTTTTCTAGGTATAGAATCATATTGGCAGTGAAGAGAGACAGTTTGACTTCTTTTCCTATTTGGAAGCCTTTTATGGCTTATTCTTGCCTGATTACTCTGGCTAGGACTTCCTAGCATTTCGTTTGTTTAGAAGGTGACAGACACATCGGTGTTTCTTATTCATTTATTTATTTGAGATGGAGAGTTGCTCTGTCATCCAGGCTGGAGTGCAGTGGAGCAATCTTGATTCACTGCAACCTCAGCTTACCACAACCTCCGCCTTCTGGGTTCAAGCGATTCTCCTGCCTCGGCCTCCTGAGGAGCTGGGACCACAGGTGTGCGCCACCACACCCAGCTGATTTTTGTATTTTTAGTAGAGATAGGGTTTTGCCACGTTGGCCAGGCTGGTCTCGAACTCCTGACCTCAATTATCTGTCCACCTCGGCCTCCTAAAGGGCGGGGATTACAGGTGTGAGCCACCGTGCTCAGCCACAAATCGGTGTTTCTATGAATCAGCCCCAGCTGCCAATTTCCTCTCGAGGACGGCAGGCAAAATGTGGCCAATGGACGTTGTGATCCCTTGTTGGTGATGCTTTGTTCACCATAAAGCAGGCTTGCAGAAGTAAGACACTCAGATGGCACCAATCATCCTGTATAACACCCCCCATACCTATCTCCTTTCATTACTTTAAGAGAGGAATCTCCGCTAAAGTCACCTTACTGACAAATGTCTTTCCTACCTAACAGATAATGTATTAATAAAGATCTTCGAGTCTAAGCCAAGAAACTTTCAGAGCTCTCTAGTTGTTCTCAGTAATAAAATAATGTCAATGAATTTCCATTCTTTATTTGGCAGTACCGTGTTCTAATGACAAAGGTTCTGTGACCTTTCAATTATGATCATTACTAAGATACAAAGACTGGAATTCTATAGAAGAGGCCTGACAGATTACCTGAGGTCAGGCATTTGAGACCAGCCTCGCCAACATGGTGAAACCCCGTCTCTACTAAAAATACAAAAATTAGCAGGGCATGGTGGCGCATGCCTGTAGTCCCAGCTACTTGGGAGGCTGAGGCAGGAGAATCGCTTGAACCCGGGAGGTGGAGGTTGCAGTAAGCCGAGATTGTGCCATTGCACTCCAGCCTGGGAATCAGAGCAAGAATCCATCTCAAAAAAAAAGGCCCGAAGCTTCTCTGAAACACAAATTCAGTCATCAGAAAGTCACCTGAGAGTTCTTAAGCACCACAACGCGTGGCAAACATGATATCAAAGGTCATCTTGTATACGCCAGTTCCTTCTCTTCACAATCGTTTCTCACTTGAACATCCAAAGACGGTTTTGCAAGCTGTGCAGTCACCACAGGCCAGTGAGGTCACTGTCATTGTGGCAACAGGTAGTTTTCAGAGGCACAGACCTTGTGCTGGGTGATGGAATCTAGAGAGAGAGGGAAAAGCAGTTTAGCATTCATAATAGCTAGCTACACAGGAAAGTGATAACCTGTTTGTATATACATGAAACTATATTTAAAAACAAATGGTCAAGAGCTGTGTTGTCCATAGGCCCCCCCCATCCACAGAGCACACATAACTTTTTAAATTAACATGAAACGAAATTCAATACAACGAAACATTCAGGTCTCAGTCACACTGGCCAGTCCCATTAGATGCAGGACACAGATGACGCTCCCATCGTGGCTGAACACTCGGTGGGCAGGGTGGGAAGCCTGCCAGTCTGTGACACAGGAGTTCTCTAATCTTAGCTCACCACTTCCAATACTCTGGGCATAAGGCAGAGGATAAAGAAATACATAAATGAGTTTTAACTGTGACACCAACAGTGAGAGGTGGGCCGTGCCATCCTATCTACCCAGCGTAGGTTATTTTTATGCAATACCAAGTGAATAAGCATACTTCCTAAAACTCAGTTCTTCATGGCTCAAATTAAAGGAGCTCTAAAGTCCCATCAGTTTGAAACTCGACTATTTTACGAAAATTACAAGTTGCACCTGGTCCAGGCTAGCGCTGCAGGTGCAGCTGAAGGATCAGCACAAGTGATCCTGGCAGCTGGCGGAAACGACCCCTCCCTCTTTCCTCCGTCCTGGCCAGTGTCCTGCACTGCGTTCTATTCCTACTGTTAGAAAAAAAAGGAAGGAAGTCCACTGTCAGCATGATTGGATGATAAGGTAGATTAAATCAATCAACTGCAATTAAAGAATCACAATGATTGTGTGATTATAGAATTACAATTACAGAGTTATATTTGAAGGAACTTAAGAAGTCACACAGAAGAGTGATAGAAGGTGGAAAGCTATACTGGTGGTATGGTACAAAAAAGAAAAAATGGGTTTATTCTATAAATATTTTTTAAATGGAAGAAAAAAAATGACTTATCTTAGTTACAGCTCAAGATAGTGTCCCAGAATGTAACTGTTGTCTTCTCAATACAAATGTGCCTCTACCCAGGAGGCCTGGGCCAGTGAGGCACTCTCAGGTGAATTTCAGAAGGGAGGAACACTAACATTTGTGATAGCTTATATACATAAGAAATGATACAGTTAATAACATTGTGTATAACAATTATTATTAGTACTAGGCATACTACTTCTCTCCACAACAGTGAAGCAGGTATTATCATGATTCACATTTTTTTCTCTTTTTGAGATAGGATCTTGCTCTGTCACCCAGGTTAGAGTGCATTGGTGCAAACGTGGCTCCCTGCAGCCTTAGTCTCCTGAACTCAGGTGATCCTCCAGCCTCAGCTTCCCAGGTAGCCAGGACTACAGGTGTGCACCACCACACCCAGTTAATTTTTGGATTTTTTGTACAGCTAATGTCTCACTTTGTTACCCAGGCTGGTCTCAAACTCCTGGGCTCAAGCAATCCTCCTGCCTCAGTCCTCCAAAGTGCTGGGATTACAGGCATAACACACCACACCTGGCTTGACTTTTCTTATGCAAACTTTTGCCGTGTATAAGTTTCAATTTCTTATGTATTCAAATTATATCAACACTTTTTCTATTGCATCTGGCTTTTGAGTCATAGGTAGGTGGAAGCCTTTCCCGATACTCAGGTTATAAGTCATTCAGCCACATCTGTATGTTCTTCCAGGCTGTGACAATTCTCTGGATTCAATTTTTACACTTAGTTTTCTGACTAGGTGTCAGTTTTGAAAAACCAGAAAAAAAAATGCAGAAAAAATGATGCTCTTTGCAAATTCATCTAAAAATTCAATATAATCCCCAAATTTCAAACTTTTAAAAAAGAAAAGGACACATTTATTCTAAAGTTTATGGGAAAGAAAAAAAATGCATAGGAAAATGATTTTAAAAAAGAGAAATAATGAGAAAAAATTTGACATACCAGATATCAAAACAGTCTGTATAATTACAGCAGTAAAATAGAAGTTAGCACGGAATAGACAAACAGATCACTGGACGAGAATAACCAGAAACACGCCCACACCGTGTGGGAATGTAAGAGAGGACTCACAGGGGCATTATAAGTCAATGTCAATAAATGAGTTATTACAAACGACAGGGTCCCCTCACATTACATAATAAGTGAAGTGCAGATGCATTAAAGGTCTAAATATTTTTTAAAACTATAAATAGAATAATATGAGATTATTTTTAAAGCTCAGAGGGTGAGGAAGACCTTTCTAAGCAAAACCACTAAGTGTATGTGCCATGGAGGAAAAGAGGTGTTTAATTTTATAAAAAATAATAGTTAAAAATTAAAAACTTGGTAATACTTAAGTCACCATCAGCACAGTTAAAGAGACAGAATTTTGTAACATTTACAGCAAAAGTTTAATGTCCGTATTACATAAGCATGGCTGTTAAACAGGGTGAAAAAGATAAATAACCCAATTTCAAAAGAGGCAAGGGATCAGGACAGGCAATTCATGAATGATAAATCTCCTAAGATACTCAGAGTCGTTAGGAATTTAGTAGCCAGGGAATTACAAATTAATGAGATCTATTTTTTTTAACTAATCAGATCACCCAACATTGAAACTATGGGTTATGTCCAGTATTGGACATAGGAATTTATAGGACATAGGAAATAGGACTTTATATACTGTCAGTGATAGTGTAAATTGGTACAGCCTTGTGTGTCAGAATGTAAGTACACATATCCTAGGGCACAGTAATTCCACTGCTTTGAATCTATTTTACAGAAATCTTCATGTGCCCAGGCTTGGGCTAGAATAACTATAGCTCAAGAAAATCTCTTAAAATTGAATTCAGATTGTTCAATTAGAAAACATACACACACACACACACACACACACACACACACACGAGTTTAAAATAGCAGAAGTCAGCCGTGTGGCAGGGTTCATGCCTGTAGTCCCACCTACTTGGGAGGCTGAGGTGGGAGGACTGCTTGAGCCCAGGAGTTTGAGGCCAGCCTGGGCAACACAGTGACATCCTGTTTCTAAAATAAATAAATAAATATTTAAATAAATAAATAAATACAATAGCAGAATAAAAATAACAGAAAGACATTAATTTATTAACATAAATTAATTACCATACCTCCCAATGGTTAAAAAGAACGAAGTAGCTGTATATGTGTTAAGCTGGAAGGATCTTCTAGACATAGGGTTACATAAAAACTCATGAAAAAACATGTGACTCTCCAATTTATATAAAAACAAATCCCTAAACAATATCTACGTTTATATACGTTTATTTCTATATAAATATGCTTTTTTTTTTTTTTTTTAAACAGACAGGATCTTGATCCATTGCCCAGACTTGAGTGTAGTGGTATGATCATGGCTTCCTGCAGCCTGGAATTCCTGGCCTCAAGGGATCCTCCCACCTTGGCCTCCTGAGTAGCTAGGACTACAGGCATGTGCCACGACACCAGGCTACTTAAAAATTTTTTGTGTGTAGGGACAGCATCTTTCTGTGTTGCCAAGGCTGGTCTCAAACTCCTGGCATCAAGCAATCCACTCACCTTGGCCTCCCATAGTTTTAGGATTATAGGTGTGAGTCACTGGACCTGACCATAATATGTTTACATTCATAAATATGTTTTTAAAAGAAATCTAGAAGATACACTTCCATCTTTATTGTAGTTACTTTAAGGAAGGGTTGTAAGACTGGGGGACCCTGTGCACTTCTCTACTGTTTGAGTTCTTTGACTATGAAATCAAACATCACTCCATCCACCCATCTACCCATCTACTCATCCATCCATCCATCCACCCATCCACCCATCCACACATGTATCCTTCCATCCACATGTTTATCGTGGTGGGGATAAAGACTGCCTGAAGTATCGATCTTTAAACAGAGACAAGATAGAAGAGAAGCCTACATGTAACCTCACAACAAAGTCCGTACCTTACACCTCTCATGGCCTGCTCTAGGACGTGCTGCCTGAGAAATTACACTGGACTTCTGAGCAGTGGCCTTGAGGTGCGCACGGGGCTGTGACTGAGTGTGTGGTCAGCAGTCTGGGAGGTCTGAAGTGTATCTGACCACTGAACAAGGGCCGACAGCTCCAGGGTCATGTCCAGGGAGCCCCTCACAGCCCCACGTTCCTAACTGTAAACACACACAGGAAAAATGATTTCTATCTAAGTTTATTTGGCATCTGAAGATAGCCACATCCCCAAATTCCAATGTCACTTCATAGGAATAATCCTCAAACATCCCATAAAATGTGGCCATAGGACAGATGTTAGAGTAATGCCAGTCCTGGCCGGTGGAGACAGAGATGAGTAGGAAGTTGAACTGCCCTTGAGCAGCTCTGTGAAATTTAAATTAAAAAAAAAAAAAAAAAGTTTTTTTCTTTTTCTTTTTTTTTTAAGCAACAGTATTTAGCAGTTCTTGGCAGGCATTTATGCACAAGCTAAAGTTTACTAGCCACGCCTCTGTGTGGTCTTATGGGTAGGATACAGAATCAACATGCTGCCAAAATTAATTTTTTATAGTACGGTGGGCAAGTCACTTTATTTAACTAAAACTGTGATTGCCAGCATCCAAGTGTGGTTAATGGTACTGTGTGCAGAAGTCCAAGAGCGCACGGGACCCATGTGAGCTTTAGCTTTGCTTATCAAAATAAGTAAGCATGTTAGGGCTGGGAGAGCTAGCCAGACAGACCTCCACTCTGGTAAGGAATCGCCCAGCTCCCTCACTGTGGGACGGTGGTCACCCAGCCTCTGCGGCTTCATGGCTTAAGGCAGCCCTTGGCAGTAGAGCCCAGCAGGTCACACATGTTCCTAGAGTCGTTTCTCACAATGAGCCCAGAGCTGCCTGCTGTGTCATTTTCACCTGCTCATATCACATCTCCTCTTTCACACAGCCGTCCTGGAGGCACTGCTTCTGCAGACTGAATACCACCACTCCTTCCGTGATTCTCCCGGGTCCTGACTTCTAGATGCCTCATTCTGGAAGCTCAGAACTCAAGACTAGGTGC